CAATAGTTTGTTGCTTTTATTATAATAAAGTTTCATACGAAATTTTAAATTAAAAAAAAATGATTTATATCATGTGTTTATATAAAGGAGTTGGGTATTCATGTTATATTGTAAATATATAATTATTCTTATGTTATTTTATATATGTTATAGTGTTGTTTTGTTGTTACTTTTGAGTATATATATAACCAATTGATTAATCCTTTCTTTTTTTTTTTGGTTGTTTTTGTGTTTAGAAATTCATATTTGAAGAAGAAGAAGAAGAAGTAAACGGAAGAAGAGAGAACGTGAGAAGCGTAAGAAAAAAGGAGAAGAAAAAATAGGAAGAGAGAGAAAAACAGTTTATGGAGAGCAGTTGTTGTTTTTAATCGGTTACCTTTTTAAAACAAATGTCCGGTATGAATTGAGACAATTTTAGAATTGTAGAGGGAGTGCTTTTTTATAGAATATTTTCTTAATACATGGTTAGTTATGTATTTTTCCCATCTATCACTTAAACTGTATACTCTCTGGGCCTCACTTTTTCCTACTGCTGCAAAGATTAGTCCAATGAGTTTGAATTTATATGGGCTACAATTGGCGAGGCTCAATTTACACGGTGGGTATATCAGGTAGAGGCCCAAAATACAAGTTGCATGTGTTTATTTGAGAAAATATAAACCATAGTTTGCCAACATAAGTGGGGCGAGCAATGGTGACTTTTATCAAAATCGCACCAAATCGTTAAAAAAAAAAAATCAACTTAAATTTCGCGCCAACATAAAAGAAAAAATCGAATCAAAATTTTTAACACTAAAAGTAGTCAAACCGAATTGTACGATTTTGGTTTAATTTTTAGTTTTTCTAATACATTTGACTTCGTTTCGTGTAAAACCAACTTTTTTTTTTCCGAACCTTAAATTTTATACAATAAGAATTGCAATGTACACAGGATGCTACCAAATAGTTACAGAACATGGGAACTCCACAGTGAGGCTTCCCTACAAGACCAACAAGGTATGAAAAAGTCTAACACAGACAACTAAGCCAAAGAAAATAATTACAAAGGCAAAACAACAGCAAAATAAAGTCTAACACAAACAACTGGACCAAAGATAAAAAAATTTACAGAGGCAAAAAACAACAACAATAGGAGTAGATATCCTCAGCTAGCACATCAATAACCCAATCAAACAAACCTTTGGCTCTCAGCAGCTTTTCCAGCTTTTCATTTAATCTTTTACCATCTGAGACTCTTAGTTGAGCACCAAGTTGCAGCCAGTCTCTAATTTGGATTAGTGATGACTCCCAAGGATGTCTTCCTGTTGAGGTTTTAAGTACAGCATTCTGAAACACCATCTGATCTTCTGAGTAAGCTGATATTTTCAGATTTCAAGAATTAGAACATGAAACACTAGCACTGAAAGCAGAAGCTTGCCCCCCTACTCCCTGTTTCAATCCTTTGACTTGCTTGAACCCTAACCTCTTGTTTTTCTTCTCCTGGATGCTTTCAAACTCGAGCCATTCATTTCTGGCCCCTTCAACTGTCTGTAGTTCTGACATTTTCTCTTGCTTAAATATCCATGCATTTCTCGTTTTCCATGTCCACCAAAGGAGATAGTTGGATAGGGTGATTCTGTTTATGTTTGCCACATTGTCCTGCATGCTGCAAAGACTTTCCCACCAATCTTGATAATCTATGTGATCTTGCTTAAGCTTTTGCCAATCAAGCCCTACTAGTTTCCAATTTTTTTGTGCTCTGTCACATGTAAACAAGATATGGGACAAGTCTTCAGCATACTCACCACACCAGTTGCACCAGGTCTCCTCCAAAACTCCTTTTTGATGCAATCTCACCTTAGTACCCACCCAGTTGTGCCAACATCTCCAAAGGAAAATTTTTGATCTTTTGTTTAATAGGAAGATGCCAAGTTTTCCTCCACAGATTCTGAGTTTGCTTGTTCATGTCAGTTTTGGTTCCTTCAAAGCCCATGATAAGTTTATTGTGTTGCTGGAGCATCTGATAAGCACCTTTAACTGAGAAGAGTCCTTTCCTGTCAAGATGCCAGATGAGCTTGTCTTTGTTGTCCCTCATGGAGATATGCATCTTTAAAATATGAGCAGCATCCTTTGGGCTAAAAGTTTGGTGAATCAACTCAGTGTCCCAGTGCTTACCATCATATAACATCAGGTCATAAATTTTCCTTAACACAACTTTATCACCTGCAAAATGACAGATAGGCTTGAAATTTGTGTTATTGGGTATCCAGTGAGAGTCCCAGACATTAGTGTTTCTCCCATTACCCACTTGGTACCTAAGACCCAAAATCAGAGATTTCCTAGCTTCTAACCAACACTTCCAAAGCCAGGAGTCACTGTTTTTA